ATAAAATAAATTAAATTTAAAAGGATAAATACTAGTATTACCACTACTACTGCTACTACTGCTGCTGCTATACTAGTACTACTACTACTTCTATTACTGACACTACTGCTACTACTAGAGACTACAAACTATGCCATAAATGTTATGCTAAATTGACAATTCTAACTTTTACTAATACTTCTATACTTCATTTACAATATATACTGTATGTACAATCTCTACTGAACTAAAGGAGCTGTTCATGTGAAAACTACCACGACATGACATCACAAAGTGGAACAGAGCATTTTGAGCTTTGGAGATGAAGACAGACTAATAATAAAAGGTTAATCAAAAATGTAAGAATGAAACAAAACACAACTCCAGGTCTGTTTTTGCAGAGGAACCATCATTCTAACATGACTCAAAGCTCACAAGAGTCAGTTTTGTGTAATGCAAGACCTTTAAAGATTGATGTAGCACGAGTTAATCAAAACATGAGGAAAAGATTAAACATTTCCATGAAAAGCGAGCATTCAGAAAAGACCTTAGAGTCCTTTCACATTCACTTTGTGTCTGTGTGTTGTAGTTTTTATTATCAGGTTGTTATACTCGGTTACATTTGCCTGAGTAGTTACTCAGGCAAATGTAATGTATATATATATATATAGTTTTTTTGTTACTTGGTTAAAAGTTTTGCTTCCTCTTCTCACTCTGAGTAAGTCTACAAGTGACAAAAGCTTTATGCGAACAATATTGTGCATTATTTCATGTTTTGTCATTTCCAGGTCCACGTACCATTGGTTCTTTTGAATTTCAATTAAGAACAAAAAACAGTAAAATGGGAAAACAGTTTGTTATTTCATGTTTCCATTTTAGTTCCAAACAAAAAACACAGATTTTGACCTCTATTTCCAATATTTAATTTAAAGTTTATTTCAAATAACACCAATCAAAAAACAGTCATCCTGCCTATTTTAATCTTGGTATTTTATTCTCTGGTTCATTTACCCTGGAAGTTCTGCTGCTAGAAGGACTCACCTGAAAAATCGCTGCAGTTTTGTGAACAAACATTGATCTACTCTTTACTCTTACTTTCACGTCTTAGAAAGTAACTGCTGAAATCCATGACGAGAAACAGGAAGCAGCGATAAACTGTTCTTTGTTCAGTTGACTCCACAGAACTATAATAAAAATAGTAGCAGAACTTCCAGAGCAAATAAACCAGAGAGAATAAAATATCAAAACTGAAATAGACACCATGACTGTTTTTTGATTGGTGTTACTTGAAATAAACTTTAAATTAAATAATGGAAATAGAGGTCGAAATCATTTTTTTCTTTGACACTAAAATGGAAAAATTAAATAACAAACAGTTTTTCCATTTTATTGTCTTTCGTTTGTTTCGTTTTATTGAAATTCAAAAATAACAAATGGTACACGGACCATTTACATTAACTTTAAATTAGAACATCCCAACAGTTACTTGAATAGTACTTTTCCCAAATATGTT